TCTTCATACAAGGTTGTCAAGAAAAAAAGGATTAAGGTATATTTTTATCTTAGATATTAAAATCTGGTAAATATTTCAATTTAATAATAAATAATATAAAGTACTTATCATCAGGAAATCTATGCAATATCATATAAAATATACTGAAAATGAAAAATCTAAAAATGAGATAGAATGTATACAATTCACATGTGTGCCTATTAAACCACAAACGATTTTTAATGAAAATATATCTCAATCTTGTCCGAAGATATCTTGTCCACCGGATTATACTGTAATTTACGAAAAGATGAGCATGTATAAACTTCAAAAATGTCCTAAGTATTCTTGTAAACCTCCAACACCAAAAGAAGTTGTTTGCAATATCACAGGAAGAACTTTTAATACATTCGATAAACTAGAGTATAAATATGATATTTGTAATCACATTCTGGCCAGAGATATGTTTGCTAATACATGGTACATCATAAGTGAGTCTTTTATAAATTTATTAATTATTAAAATTGTTATAATCAAGTTTTTATCTGTTATTTAAAAATATTATTTTTTAATTTATGTTTTTATAGTGGAAAAACAGTGTGATTTACATACAAGCCAGTGCACCAAAGTTCTAGTAGTGACTCTAGATATAGATGTAGTTCTTTTATACCCTGACATGCATGTGGACATAAATGAATACACTTTTACATCAAACCAGATTAATAGAATTGATAACAAATTTCATTCTTTCAAAATGTCAACTATAGGAAATGTTATATACTTGATATCAAACTATTATGGATTCTGGATAATATGGGACACAAATTCAAATGTAAAGATAGGAATTTCCACAAAATTGACACGTCAAGTGGATGGTTTATGTGGATATTTTGATGGATATTCTATAAATGATAAACAATTACCTGATGGAAGTCAAGCTCGAAGTACTGTAGAATTTGGAAACAGTTGGATTATAGAGGGAACTCCAGAATGTAATCCACAGGTTTGACAATGTATATTAATATCACAAAATAATATATTTAATAAAAACATATTAATTTTCAAGGTCTGCCCATATCAATTACAAGCTAAGAGTTGGGATATTTGTAACATAGTGAAGGATGCCTCATTAATAGAATGTTCGAATATTGTTAACTTAGAAAAATTTATATCTAGTTGTATGGAGAACATATGCAATTGTCTACGCAGTAATCACTCATATGATGATTGTCGTTGCCGTTTATTAACCAGTTTTGTTACTGAATGTCAAGCTGGTGATTTAAATATAGATCTATCTACTTGGAGAAGTATTCATGACTGTCCAGTCATTTGTGCTTCACCTCTTGTTCACAAAGACTGTTTCAGGTATTTTAAGATATACAGATGAATAATCTAATATATTTTTATTTGAAATAGTTTAACATATTTCTATGAAAAATTTCATTTTAGAAACAAATGTGAGACTAGTTGCAACAATTTACAGCAGATAGATCCCTGTCCAATAATGCAAGGAGTATGTTTTTCCGGTTGTTTCTGTCCTGACGGAACAGTGCGTAATGGAGATGAGTGTATACCTCCTACATATTGCAAAGATTGCATCTGTGAATGGCTAGGAAATTCCAAATTTATTAATTTTGATAGAAAAAATATTAAATTTGATGGAAACTGCACATATATTCTCTCTAGAAATATTGTTGAGAACACAACAAAAAATAAAAAGTATACTTATCAGATTTTGGTGTCAAATAAAATTTGCGACACTGGAACGTGTACAGAGGCGGTTATAATTCTTTATCAAAATCATGTAATTAAAATTAAAGAAAGTATATCTAACCAGGAATTTGAAATAGAAGTGGATAATTCAAAGATATATGAATTACCTTTTAATACATCTTGGTTGATTTTGGAACATACATCTTCAAGAAAACTGCGATTATTAATACCATCTATCCAATTAGAAATCATTAGTTATCAACCCAACTTCGCATTTAGTTTGACTATACCTTCACATATCTTTGGAGATGCTATTGAAGGTCTCTGTGGTAATTGCAATGAAGATCCAGAAGATGATTTGAAACAGCAAGATGGAAAAGTATGATCATTTTACAATAAAAAGAAAAAATATATAATTAATGATTATATTTATTATTTATTATTGATTAAATAGATCATAGAAAACATGCAAGATTTCGTTACAAGCTGGTTGGTCACAGAATCTCCAAATATCAATTTAAATACAAATATATGCGTTTTTAATAATCAAAGTAAATGTATTTTATCAGATCAAGATTCATGTCAAAAGTTATTAAATATAGCAGATTTTGGCTTATGTCATAATCTTGTCGATCCAATGCCATATTTCATGGCTTGTAAAGATAATATGTGTTCTGGAGAAAGCTATTGCAATAGTTTTGAAGCATATTCAAGAAAATGTCAACAAATGGGAATTTGTTTAACTTGGAGAAGTAGCGAAATATGCCCTTATATTTGTCCTTCACGTAAATATATTTTTTTTATTATTCAAATTAAATATTATCATCTAAATTATTGTTTATTTTTCAGACTTAGTATATCAACCTTGTAATTCTATTTGTAAGCAGACGTGCGATACAATCAATAAAATGAATGATGTTATGTGCATAAAGAATTATGAGGAAGGCTGTTTTTGTCCTCAAAATCTCATCTTTCATAATAATACTTGCATTTCAAAAGAAAAATGTTTATTATGCGATGAAGAAGGTCATATTGAAGGTGATATATGGTTTCTAGATATTTGCACAAAGTGCACTTGCAACAAAAAGACTGTTCAATGCGAAAAAACCGAATGTCCTGCAGTGGAAACCATTTGTGAGGAGAACATGACACCTATGATCATTAATGGCACAGAGAAAGATTGTTGTGCTAAGTATCTTTGCATTCCAAAAACAGTAACTACTATGACACCTTTTTGCATTGAACCTCAAATTCCTGAGTGTGGCTATGGACAAATTATAAAAGCATTTGTAGATTCGGATGGATGTAAAAAATTTATTTGTGAATGTGTACCATCATCAGAATGTCCTATACTCAATGAAATTTCATTAGAAGTTGATCAACTAGAACCTGGTTTTATACAAGTAACAAACACCTCTGGTTGCTGTCCAAAATTTATGACTATTTGTGATCCTCAGACTTGTCCTTTAGCACCATCTTGTCCAGAATATCACGAGCTAAAAATTGATATAAAGAATGCTTGCTGTGATATTTATAAATGCGATCCACCAAAAGATTTGTGTTTATATAATATTGAATTCAAAAGTAAAATAGAAATGACAGAACATATAGTAGCAAAGAAACTTGGAGAACAATGGATGGATGGAAAATGTATTTCCTGTATTTGTGAATCTTCTGAGAAAGGCCCTAAACCGACATGCTTTACGACAGAATGCCTCAGAATTATGGATCATCCAGATATATCTGACTTCGTCATAGAAGAGATTCTCATAGAAGATAAATGTTGCCCTAATTTTGAAAGAACAGCTTGCAAAGATGGAAATAAAATATATAAAGTTGGTGAAATTTGGCAACCAAATTTGGAAGATTCTTGTACCTTCATAGAATGTCTCAAAGATGAAAATGGTATTCAAAAGCAAATTAAAGTGCAAGAATGTAACACTACTTGTGATGTTGGCTTTGAGTACCAACCTACAGATAATAAGAGCACTATTTGTTGTGGAAAATGTATTCCAGTAGCTTGTGTGATTTTCAATGAAGTAATAGATGTGGGAAAAGAATTATTTTCTTCTGATTTTTGTACCAAATACTCTTGCAAATCCAATAATAAGAGTATTTATATAGAATCTTTCACAGAAAAGTGTCCAGAGATAGATTCTTGGGAAGAAGCTGAATTTGAGATAGAAAAGCAATATATACCAGGACAGTGTTGTCCACAATTCATTAAAACTGGTTGCCGTCATAATGGCATTATATATAAACTTGGAGAAAAATGGAAGTCCGTAAATGATAAATGTGTTACGGAAATTTGTGCATTAGAATCTAATATAACAAAATATAAGGAAATAGAAGTTTGTAATAAAAATTGTACTCCTGGTTGGATATATGAGGAAAAAGAGAATGAATGTTGTGGACAATGTAAACAAGCTTATTGTATGATTGGAGATATGTTTTATAAGCCTAATACAACATGGTATTCAACTGATAATTGTACTATTTTTACTTGTATAAAACAAGGAGAACAATTAGTTATTAGCAGCAGTTCCGTAGTATGTCCTGATGTAACTGATTGTCCAGATACTTTACTTTACATGCAAAATTGTTGCAAAATATGTAATTTAACCTCATACAATCATAAGATTGAATCTTGTGTTGCTAATGTTTTAAAGGAACAAAACACGATTGGTATGTTTAGCATTAAACATCAAATACATGGCCTTTGCAAGAATTTAAAACCTATTGATGGAGTTACAGAGTGTCATGGCATATGCGAATCTAACAGTTATTTTGATACAGGTGAAAAAAAATAAAGTAATATCCGAATAAATAATCATGAAGCGTATTTATTTGTCATATTTGGAATATTTTTTTCTTTAAAGAAAAATAATAAAGTCTAGTCGTAAAGAAATAGTAACAATAATTTTTTATTTTTCATAATAAAGAATGAGGAAAATGTGATTATTTATTCAAAAACTGTAGCATATCATATTCTAAAGAAATTTTTGATTATCATTTGATTTTTTTAATTATAGATAATTGGAGTCAAATAGTTAACTGTCAATGTTGTCAACCAACAAAATATAAATCTCTAATTGTTGAATTGATTTGTGAAGATAATAAAAAATTCAAAAAACAAGTTACTGTGCCAGTTTCTTGTACTTGTTCAGCTTGTATGTCTAATGAAAAGATTTACAAAAGAAGAAAAGATGGAGTAAAAGGCTAATTAATAAGTTAAAGTTAAACAACTAAAAATATTATAATTAAGATATACATATTTAAATTTCAAAATAAACTCAAAAATACAAAAATATTATTCGTTGATTTTATTGATGAATGTACATATTTATGTGTATACATATTATATACATATATTATTTTAATAATATCGACATTCTCACATTACAATTCTTATTTTCAGAGCCATACTAAGTACAGTAAAATCTAATTCAGTCTTTCTTATCAAGACTTCAAATTTTTTTTGCTTGTTTGTACTTCAAAATTTGAATATTAAATAAATTTTTAAGAATTTAAAAAAAAATTATTTATGGAAATATTTTAAAGCACAATATTAAAATTTTAAATATCAGCCAAAAATATGTAAATTAAAAATCATAATTTTTCTCACTTTCCATTGGTCATTGAAATCATCAATTATTAAACAGAAAAAATTCAAATTTTTTAGTACCATTTTTACCAAATTGCAAATCTCAAATTGTAAAGTTTTGACTTGTTCGATTCATCACGAATACAAAAATAGGACTTATCAAAAATGTTTTAGACTAGTTTTCAAAAAACCTGAGCTATCGAATTATTATCTTAGAAAACGGTACTAACGAAGAAATATAAATAATTCGTTAATAATATCAAGCCAAAAAGAATATAAAAGCTATATTACATTTTTTATTATCGTATGGCATTTTATTAGACTGCAAACATAATCAAATTTATAATGAATGTTTCTCAGTAACAAAAAATTATTAATTCTTTCTTATGTACGTGTATATATATATAATTTATTTTTTAATATTTTCTCTTCTTCAACGAATAATTATTTTGAACAACAACAAACGCACTTCAATATAATATTTCTCTAAGTGCACAGTATTTATATAGATATTATTGATTCCAAAAACATGATAGTAACTATAAATAGTTTCCTCTCCAAACATTACAAAAAAGAAAGGAAGTAACATTTTTGTTATATTGTTTTCATTTGGCGTAACAACGCACTCTCAAAATATATAAACAGTTATATTGATCTAAATTAATTTACATACATGATTCCTACATTATAATTTTATAGAATTGATTGATTGTATTCGATATATTCAATACAATGAAATTTTTTTTCTCTTAATTTAATGTTATATATGAAATTTATATGCAATTTTTCATGCATTTTTAATTTTTTTATATTTTTTTTTCGTTGCAAAAGAAATTGATATCAATACATATTTAAAATAGATTTTTCACGTACAGAAAAGTTAGATTTCAATCAATAATGCATAGATTTTGAGCGTTTTACGGAAGAAGCGTTTTTCGAAAATAAAATTTAATATGAAATACAAATTCTATGTAATGATGAACAACAACAATAATGATAATAATACATCTCCTTATACTAATAGAAATAAACATAACAATCGTCCACCTTCATCATTTTGTATATAGATTTATAATTATAATGATTATTTTCTATTTTTCTTTTTGTTAAAAGAAATAGCAAAAGACAATGATCGCATTTTTTCAATAATCATTAAATTCAAATGTATCTGTTATTAATGATATAGAAATGAATATATTCTCTAATGAATTCTTCAAGAGCAATCCTATCTCTTATATTTAACAATAATTTTTAATTAATATAAGTGCATATTGCTCTAAAGAAATCGCAATACTGTATAAAAATGAATGATGAAAAATGATTTCTATCATATCGAAACAAGGGAGATATGAATTTTAAATGTTTAAATTCAAATTAGAATATCAATATTATTATATATAATAACCGATTAGTAAAAAATTAAATCTATTATAAGTTTTTAAGAATTAAAATCCATTTTTTCCCGTGTTTCGAAGATCTTCAGAAACAATTAAGACGCCTGAAATGAATCTCCCATGATACCTGTTATTACCAATGATAATGTCAATGATTCCATTAACCTATTAACTGGAAAAAATAATATTATCAATATTTTTGAATTTATTTTTTTAAATATTTTTTAAATTAATTAGTTTAATCATAAAAAATACATTATCAAATTTTAATTTTCAAGAGATAAATCAAATTAATTTGCTTTGAATCGGATTTACAAAAAAATAATATAAATTATTTATGCAAATTTTTCATTAACAAACCAGTTAACAGATTAATAGTAACGAGAAGCTGACATAATCTTACTTTTGGAGCATTCTGAGTCTACGTAATTGACTCATTTAATCCAGCTTCACGATCCTCGCCTCCGTGTATGTGTGTGTGAATGTGTCGACGAAGGTACAGACAGACAGTTTAGGCTGTTCCTCGCGTACGTAGGTACGCTACCTGAAAGGAGGAAGGACTACTTTTTGCTACACTTATAGAGCACACAGCAGCGTACAACGCGCTGTGATACCTATTTTGCTACCTTCGACATGTTCGATTGGACCTGGCCGGCCGGCATGGCCCCAAACTCGGAAATGCGTTCTCTCCGGGCGTGTGGACTCTCTCTTGGACGGCGTTGTTGTTCTTTGTTCATTTTCTTTTTTTCAAAACAGATGCAATTTCAAGACTCGCCACAGCATGCGAGTTATTGGCCCTTTACTCAGGGGCCGTGAGTAAGTCCTAGGCCAATTCTCGTTTACCCTTTGGATCTGTATAGAACTTGGACTCGCTTTCATTGTTTATGCTTAAAGATCGTTCGTGAAAGTGCTTGCTTAGCAAATATACCACCGCTTCATACGTAGCCATAATAATTGCTGTATTTGGAATTTGTCTAATCAGATGAGTACCAAGACCACGGTATAGACCATGAAATCCTTCTTCAGCGTAGACTGTGCTCAATGTTTGCCAGAAAGTCTGATATTTCGTACCTTCCTCTCTAAGTCTCGTCCTTGCTACTTCTGAAACAATACAAATAATTTTAATTAATATAATTTAATTTAATTATATCAAAATTATTATGACAAGTGAAATTATTGATTTTTGATTAGAAGTATTTTAAAAGAAAATAAAAATTGAGAATATGAAGAACATAATATCGCTAAATAATAAAATTCTTCTTTTAAAAAAGAAGTTATTTTTTTCTCCAATCAATTCTTTTCTTTTTTTGATATTCTGATACATTAGTCATTCATATGCGTAATGGAGATGAGTCGTACTAGTGTGCAGGATGTTTGCAAGAATTATAAAGATTTTTGCAAGTAAAGAAGTTTGTGCAAACTGATGCTTTACTCTTGAACCACAGCCAACTCGCTGAGCAATGCCTTAAAAATAGAGCTTAATTGAAGTAGGAAGCAGAAGCCTTGCATTTTGTGATGGCAAAATTGCACAATACAGCCAACCTTACCATGGGGGTAAGCGATGGTGGAGGCAATCGTTTTTGAGAACGAGCCAGCCGCCATGAACTCTAAGAAATCGCGCAATGTTTTTCGATCTGCATTGGGAGCCTTGTATGTTGCTAAAGAGGCCTTCACAGCCTCGTAGATCACAAAATGTATCACAGTCTCGCTTATTCCTATGTAGGAGGCCATAATGCCTTTGTAGAATCCCAGGATACCCTGAAAAAATAACATATAATTTTAATTTGAATTCTATCAATCATTCAAATTGTAACCCTAGATTCCTATGAAAGGATTGTTATAATATTGTTTAATATCACTAATTGTAATTTTTGAATAATTCAAAATATTCAACCAATCAAGATATAACTGAATGATCAAATAATAATTATTTAAATAATTATATAAACTATCTAAAATAATGAATTTGTAACATAAATTAAAGAATGTTCTTAATATATATAATCATATTTTATAATTATATATAAATTTGACAAAATAAATTTTGTTTTATTATATACGCAAGAAATTAGAGAAAAAATCAGAGTATCAATTTAAAAAAAGATATCGATCAAAAAATGTATCTGTAATACATATTTTGTTGACAAAAGATTAAGATATGTGCTTGCCTCCAACAAAGAAATTATCTGAAGAACATATATGGGATATATTTTCAAAGATAAGATATTAAATTTCAAGAATATGCGATATACTGATACAATTTATGATTAAATTATCGCATTGACCTCTCTTAATAAATGCTCATTTATTTTACTTTTGAATTCGCAAACATGCGATAATGGAAGTTTCCGTGATTTAAAACTTATCACTAATTTATATTAAAAAAAAAAAAAATTACAATATTGTAATAATTAACTTCTGTATGATAAATATTTCTCAAAATATTGATTTTTTTATTTTAATAAACGATTCTCTGATTTTCATAAACAATATAGATGAAAATAAGAGTTACAAATAGATGCGATTAAACAATATAAATGAAAATGAATACAAACATTGGAATAAAAAAAAAATTATAATGAATGAAAGGTTTTTCTGCAAAAAATTTAATACCTAATAAATTTTATCACCGTATACATACGTATGTTACGTAATCACATTAATATAATTATCTAAAAATTAATTATAAATTTTGCTATAATTTTCTTTTCTCTTTTTTAATTATATTATATTTAATTTTGTAACTATTATTTACAAGAATTATTTTCTTATTTATTTATGAAAAATTAGAAAAATTTAAATTCTATTAAAAATGATAGACTAATTTAAATTCATAAATGATTAATAAATATTTCAATTATTTATTAGAATATATCTCTTATATTTTATTTTTTTATCCTATTTTTATATAGTACCCTCAATTTCATTCTATTATTTTATCCTATTTTTATGTAGTATTTCAATTTCATTCTATTATTTTATCCTATTTTTATACAGTAAAGAAAAAGAAAATTAATGTAAAGGCACAGTTACAAATGTGACAAAATGACATATAATAATTCAACAAATCAACCGTGAAAAACGATGTTGTTTTCTTATCCACGAGATATTTTCGGCACATTTTGACTATTTGTAGATTGCAGAGACAATTTTAAATCTGGCTCTGCTGCAATTGCGATGCAAATATGTCTGAAGAACGCAATCGAATGATAATAAAGAAAAATCTCAATTCGATATTTTAAATAAATTTAGTCTATCTTAGTAGTTATCCAAAGATTATCTAAATTGTTCAAAGATTAAATGAATTATATAATAATTATAATTTTATTATCTTGTATGAAATTATATAGAAATTGTAGAAGTATTTTAACGCACAGTTTCTATGCATGTACGATTGTAAAAATATCCTTGGCTGCCGGATTGGCTTGTCCATTGTACATCACAACAATTACAACATTGAATGTTGACTTTTGATTGACAAAAGTTCGAGGCTTTGTTTTTTTCAAACTCCAAACATAGTTAGATTTATCAATATATGCAAAAAGTTCTTAAATTAATAAGTGAATTATTAAAAAAAAAAAAAAGTTTCGACATTCACTCTGTTCTATCTATATTTGTCATCAAGTTTTTTCATCCTTATTCTCTCTCAGTCCCAAAAAGGATCTATATCCTCAAACATACTCTGTTTCCTAAAATCAAAATAAGTTAATATAAATATTTTACTATTTAGGATTACTAGCTTAAGTCTCATTATCTCCAGAATATTGCAGAAACTATCTAATCAGTAAATTGATGATTACATATAAAATTCAAAATAATTCAAGATACAACAAAATCTATTATAGGAGCTGTATACCAGCATGTTTAACTTTAAGGGTAGAAAAACTCTCCAATCATATACTGATATACTGATATACTGATATACTGATCATATGTAATGATATAATGGTCAAAAAAATCTTCCAAGATGTTCCAATATGGCATGTCTCATGGAACGAAGAGTTTCTTTCCTCAAAACAGGATTTTCGTACCGATTGTCGATATATCCTTTGCATACACTCCATCGCAGTGATTTTGTTGGTTCGATGGTCCAGTTGCAGCCTGGTCTTCACGAACCAAATAGGATTTGTCAATGTGCATGCCACGAAACCTGAAAAATGAATCTATGTGTTTTTAATCCGAGCAGTATGTGGAGGAAAAGGGGAGGGATTGTGTGTGTGGCATACTGCGACTGTCTCGGCTCTCTCGTCAATTTACTGGTTTTTTAAAGTTGTTTCCGAAAGATGATTTTTGAAGAATCAGATTGACGACTTATCTACCTAAGAAAAATTAATAAAGCTAAGTTAAAAAAATTAAAAATATTTTATATAATATTCCTATTATTAAAAATAATAAAATTTCTAAATTTAAAATTGCAATAATTTTCATGTTTATAGTATTTTATCAAAAATGTGATAGTTGATTTGAATGTTGTGTTTTATTGAAATATCGAATACTATGAAAACTTTATTAATTAATAAAAAATTCTTATTTACAAAAAAATAAAGCAGTTATAACCACAGATAATTTAACCTTGTACCGACAAATTGTAATTCAATAAGAGTTGCGCCATCAATCTAACAAACAACGAACACATTCGAGCCAAGAAACGACTGGTCGAATTCTTTTTCGCGATTCCAAATCTAGTTAACCGTTGGCAGAAATTCTCTGATTGATCTTCCGATTCCTGTAAACATGCCAACTTCTAAATTTATCGCAGTTACAACAGACAATCTTGTTGTCAACTAAAATCAACAACAAAACTGGATGAAGTCAGAAACAAATTTATATATTCGATATTCACAATTCTTGTTGATGTGAACTTATATTCAATTCATGTATTCCTAATCTATCTGAAATTAGAAGCATGATATAGAAAACTACATTGATTATAGAGATGCCACAAATTAGAAAAGGCGACAAATTGCCTAATATAATTTTGTACGAAGCTGTACCGGAAAATGAAATTAATATTTTGGATTTAGTGTCTAATAAGAAAGCTATTATTTTTGGAATTCCTGGAGCATATGTTCCCGGATGTTCTAGAGTCCATTTGAAAGGTTTTATTGAAAAGTAAAAAAATCGTCAATTATTTTTTTAAACTTTGTAAAAACTTTTAGAAGAATATAGAAAAAAATATTTAAAAATTTTAAATTGAATATGTAATATCAATGATATAATTTAATTTTGGAATTCATAAAAATTGCTTGCATAGCCTACTTTGAATTGAATGATTTAGATCAACAGACCTGAAATGTATGGGCTTTCAAGAGATAATCTGCGTGTCCGTGAATGATCCATTTGTGATGTCTGCTTGGGGAGATGCCAAAGGAGCAACTGATAAAGTAATAGCATCAATTATAGAAATTTTTAAAAAATTCTAGAATTATCTTCAAAACAAAAAAAATCGATTGTTTTTGTTTAATAAAGTTACCTATTAACAAATATAATACAAATATAATATAAAATTAATTTAGGTGAGAATGTTAGCAGATCCTATGGGATCTTACACCACAGCTATTGGAATGGATGTAGACATTCCAGAATTAGGAGGAAGAAGAAGTAGAAGATATTCGATGGCTACCGTAAATGGTATTGTAAAGGAATTATTTATAGATGCACCTAACGTAAAATTTATATGTTTACAAACAGAAGGTTTACCTACATATTGTACTTGATTGATTTTATTAAAATAATATGTTTAATTTTTAGATTTGAAAAATTTTAAATGATTCATTTAAGTATAAGATCTATAAGTATTGTACATCATCATAATGAAATTGTACATGCATTCAAGGTTAATATAAATGAACAAATGGCAATTATAAGAATTGTCATTGGTTACTAAAATAGACTTTGAACGAGCGTAGCGCATGTTGTGTGGGCAGTATGCGTGTACTTCAATGAAGACACGCAAATGGTTTCCCACGTGTACTCGTACACGTCGTTGTAAATGCAACGTGATTCTATCGTAAACATATCTCATTTATTTTTACACAACATTACAAATCAATAAGATTACAAGTGATGAGTATTCGTTACTTCCGTAAATTATTATGAATTTATCTTATCGTAATAGTATATATATCATGTTGATTTGTAAAAAAATAAAATTCTTGCTACGCAATAATTCATCCTCATATTTATTTCAGTTATGTATTTAATGTAAATATATAGATAAAATGTACATTTTCAATGAAATTTATTTTTATCTATTGAATATTTTCTATTAATTAATATTTATGTATTATTATAATTAGTATTTTATAATTAATTGTTTCAGAAAATATTAATTTTTAAACAATTTTAATTTGATAACCCGATTTACGAGTTCCTGTGTTTATCATTCTTTCGAGCGGATTTAATAAACGAATTCTTGAGTTCAACAGGAACCTGGTAGAGGTATTGACTGTTTCTGTTTGACCTACCTCACTGTGGAAACACTAGAACCGCAGTATATCGATTCCAAGCAAAGGATTCCACGATGACACACTTTAAATTTGCCTCTTGGATTTAAAGATGAAAATATTTTTTTCAGAATATCATTATAGTAATAGAAATGATATGTATTAATGAATTGATATGTATTAATTCTGCAATATTTTTAAATTCAAAATTCCACTATTCAATATGTGTCTATTTCATATATCTCAAATACAATCTTTCATACATCTCATATATTTCAAATATAATTACCATATTGTTCGCTTAAAATATTTCTTTAATCTCAATGATTATATCTTTTTAATGTTTTAAATATCCAAATTTTTGATATTTTTGATTTAAATGTTTAAATAATAGATAATAGATAGATTAATATTAGTATTTTGAGATTCTAAGAATGCATATGAAATACTTGCATAATTTTACAAATGTTTACAAACAATACACTAGTGATAAATATTGTATTTGTCGATATAATTGTCCATAAATTAGATCAATACGATGAAATATTTATTGTGAATAAACAATCGTATTTTTAATAGTTAATTTACAAATTATTTTTGCTTTTCGTTTCAAAATAAATATTGTAAAAAATTCCTGTAAAATAATTTAATTATAATTCGAAATTTCTCGCAATCATTTTTCATATTACTTAAAATTTTCATATTGTATGATTAAAAAATAAATTTGCATAACATATATAAAAAATATCAAAAGAAATTTTCAAAAAATTGCCAAGAATAACCTGAAAATGAAAAAGATTGAAGATTGAAGTGAGAAAACAATGCCTTCGCTAGTCAAGTAGAAATGATTTTTCATTGAACTCCATTGAGAAGATCCGAGAGTCTCTAAAGCAGGGTCTTCTATTTTTAGCTAAACATATAATTTCAATGATAATTCTTGTTGATTATTTATAAGCAATGAAATACGTAAACAACTTATAAACTTGGTTTTCTTCAATGATAATTTATTTTAAGATAGTTGATCTTTGTTATTAGATTTAATGTAATTAAATTTCCGCTGCAATTATTGAAACAGTAAACATAATTTATTTTATGGAAAAAAACTATAAAATGAGAAAAAATGTAATTTAATTTTATATAAAATATAAGTTAAAATAATATGAAATATTAAATATAAAGAAGTTGCAAATAAAAAAATATTTAATTCAATATTTAATAATAATTATTATTATAGTTTAATCGGATAATGGTTAAAAACATTTTTTTATCTTTCATTAATAAAATCGTGATATAATAATCGTGAGCTTAATATATTGTTTTCAAAAGATTTAGATGAGAATAATACGCAGCTTTAAGAAGATATTAATCTCTTATATGTTTCTTGCTTCATACAACGTTGATGTAAGCATAAATAAGCCATAATTGTCCTAATAGCGAGTGTCTCAAGGTTAATGGTACATGAATACAATTCTACGTATAAAATAGATCTTCAAGAAGAATTAAGAATGATAGATCTTTTGCATAGTTTTGTATAACTGAAAGCAAAATTAAAATGAGAATGATTTAAAATTTTGATTAAAATTAAATCAATAATAAAAGATTCACTTTTTGAGAATAATGTACAATAAGAAAACAAGCTCCATAATTTTAAAGATTATTTAAAATATATTGTTAAACTTCTTATTTAACAAAATCTTATTTATCAAAATAATTTAAATGACGAAAAATAGATTTTTTTCAATCTAAACAAAATAATATTATAAAGAATATTATATTATATTATATATATTACATTATATTAAATATAATATTAATATTTTTTAGGAAATGAAATTAAAATTAAGATAATGAAGAGTTTAAAGAATAAAATACCGCTTTCAAATTGTGAGAAAAAGTAGGTCACTAGCCAAGATAACCAAAAAGCCGTTGGGCAACTATATGATCGAACATGTTTTAATCTGATAAAAAGGAAGATTGAAGAAGAAATGTGGATAATTTGATATGATCAGTGACATCAATACATGTATATTTTATTTTTTTCTGATCCATTTGAATTATTTTTTTTCAGATTAATTTCTTCACATATTACTGACCTCATCCAATGCGTTATTGAATACTTCGAATGTTTAAGAGCACCCCTGCAGAGAAATCAGTATCTACAACGATGTGCAATATACGTATATATAATTCAGAGGTTGAAGTTCAGCCCTCTTCTGATAAGCACTATCCACTTAGCAGACTATGTAAACATTTCAATTAATTTGAATTACACATCATAATTTCTGAGTACTAAAAAAAGAAGCATCACTCGATACATTCATAATATCAAACAAGCAATTTTCATTAAGACAGTTAATTTTTCATTATATAAAAATTTATAAAATAAATTGGCGATAAAAACATCAGTGGAAGGAATGTGTCACAAGGAATTTTAAATTACAGATTACTGTAAGTATTCTGAGATATACAGATATACAAGATATACAAGATATACAGATTAATGTAAGTATTTTTAATTATATGATATTTAAATATATGCGAATTATTAAAAGTATTAAATTAAATCAAGTTAAATTTGGTTATCATATTATGAAAGATCAGAAATGGTAAAGATTAAAATTCAGTTATTTGTGGCAATCCATTCAACCAGATAACAACGAATGACACGAGATGTGACCCCACTAAGTTCCTTATCAATGGTCAATTTGATTGTTCCGGGAGAAAAGAAACGAACAACGCCATCCAGTGCTTTGACTAAATAATGCTTTGTTTAGATCTTTATATATTTATGTTTTGTCTTTTCATACTTCGTATTCAATAATGTTATGTTTAACACAGTTGAAGTACAATTATATGTTGCATTTTTTTAAATTTTTGTTAATCATCAGAAAGTTTTTTAATTCCTTGTAAATTAATAATAATTATTAATTTAAATAATACTAAATATTTGAAAAATATAATTGAAAAAATTTTACTTGCGTTGATATAGTAATATGTAATATTTTTACTTTATATATCAAATTAACATTCATATAATCATTTTTAATAAATATTAGTACTCTTCTATCATTTCTCTTGTTCCTTTACTTTAAGACGTCACATCACAGTAATGGCTAAAATTATTCACATTCAAATGCGGTACAAGAGCCGATGAAAATACGAGTTTAATCGATAAAAGCGGAAGTAAAATGTTCGACTTACCGGCGCAGAATGCGGAGAATACGTGTACAAGAGCGGTATCCGGGGCAAAGATCGCGTTAAATGCGACTTTGCTTTTTGAGTAGGCGCAGAAATAGATTGCTCTGGATGGTGCAACACCTACAAGGTTAGGACCCAATCCTTTGAACAGGGCACGAATACCCTCGTTTTGAACGATATATCTGATACATTGATATACACCTGGCGCAGAATGACTGTGAGGCGAACCTCCTGAAGAAGCAAACGCGCCAAAGTGAGAGAGAGCAATCAAAGCATGCCTGAAACATAAATAAATTATTGTAAAAATTAAGTTTTTACAATAAGAAGTTTCAATTTAATTCAAGTTAATTTTAATTTTATTTCATTAATATATAATTTTTTATGTTATAATTATTAAAAATTATAAAAAATTGATATAACAAATTTATAATAATTAAAATATACTTTAAAATATATTGGATTATTTAAATTAAGTTTTAGTAAAGTAATCATTTAAAACTCTATGCTGTAATGAACTTTATAATTAATAACTAAAACAAAAGATAGAGTTGAAGATAGAATTATTTAAATTAAGTTTTAGTAAAGTAATCATTTAAAACTCTATGCTGTAATGAACTTTATAATTAATAACTAAAACAAAGGATAGAGTTGATAAAAAATAGATTTTATAATTTTTAATCGAGAAGTATAGCTAAGATTTCTAAAATCGACAATGGTTGGAAGGTAAGCGCTTCGTTAAAGCTTTATTTTTAACCAGCTATGTCACGAATGCGGGAATTAGTTGAGAGTCAACGCTGGAGCATTCTGAGACGTGTCAGAAACATATTTGAACATTTTATATATATAAAATAATATTTGATATATCATCATATACTATATATCAAATAAATAAAAAATTACCTTGTATAGCCACCAGTGCAAAGCCTTCTCCTTTGTTCCGGTTTCGGAAAACTTTTACATGTGACATGACCGGAAGTAAGTTCCTTATTCACCGGAGGTGGATAAAATCCAGAAGAAGAAGATTGTAAACGTGTTTTAACCACTTCTAAGGGACAGGTAACTATAGCACCAGTAGTTCCAGCCACTCTATAAAACACAAAATGCATCCAATGTAAAGATCTTTCTCGAAAAATTTTTACTTAATCGATTAAAAATATTTTTTACTTAATTGATTAAAAATATATCGCTTAAAATCAACTTTTAATTCAAATGAAATATGAAATTCGATTAAAAAATTACTATTATATATATTTATAGATTATATATTTAAAGATTAATTTTATAAATTCAATAAAAATTTCAAAAATCGATAAAAGATTCCGATAATAGATATTTTAAATGTTAAGATTTAAAACAAAATAAAATGAACAAATCTCATAAAAAAAAACTTATTTGATATGCTATTTGATATGATTAATTATTTAATAATTAATAATTAAGCAATATCTAAATTTTGGTTAGAAATAAAAAGATATCTTTTTTTAAATTTAAATGATATAAAATATTTTAATTTAATATATTCTTTTTAAAATCGCTTATTTTTATAAATTATGTTCGAATTTTTAAAAACATATTTGCATTGTTCGTATATCAGAATAAATTTTATTCTTCTCAGAATAAAAAATATAAATAAGTATATTATCTTTTTCATTACAAATGAATTTTTATAAATAATTTCTTTTTCAATAGTTTTCATAATAAAATAAATGAATTTTGTTAATCATTAAAGTTTTGTATTATATAATTAATTAAAAATTTGAAATATTTTAAAAAATATTAATTTTTTAGCATTATATTTTATATTATAACAATTTTTTTGTTTAATATTTCAAAGAATAAATATATATAAAAAATGCAAAAATGCAATTTAAAAAGAAATGTATTTGCATTATTTATGCGTATCATTGCACTTACGAAAAAAATAATGTAGTGAACGTAGTAAAAAATAGACATTTTTATACTAATCTATTTTTTTTCTATACATACATGTATGACACTGGAACGTTATTAATTTATCAAATTAATAATTTGAATATTATACACTAAATAAAAAATAATATATCTTTTTATGATATAAAAATTCTTTCAATAGATAATCGAACTTGGTTACGATAAAATCTAATCGATTTATGTACGCTTCAGAAACGACGAAGAAACTCGTATATTATACATTCGTTATGAAAACATATATCTTCCTGTTGGAAAGCCGGTTATGGCGCGTATTATACGATATATGATATTATTTCGATTTATATAAAGTTATCGATCATCGAAGATTGAATAATTGATGTAGTAATGAAAAATTATCACTGACATAAGTTGAAAATACATCGCAGTTTCTAAATTGGGACGATAAGTTATATACATGCAACATACGCACGAAAGCTGTAAGAATGATGTAACACATGAACCGGTAACTATGTCGCAGCATTAAACACTACAGAATTTACCTATGTTATGATATTATAAAATTTTTTTAGAAAATATATTTGTTGTATAATATTTTTATAAATTAGAAGCATTATGCAAAATACACATTTATTAATGAATCATTTTGGTATTTTGATCAAAATCACCGGCACGAATTTATGACGCACATTTTTTAATCTGATTAATTTAACAAATATAAATTGCAATTAATCGAAAATTTGATATAAAGATATAAGAAAAAAAAAAATTAGAAACCCACCCTCCAGCAATGAGATGTATCGCGGTATCGCGATCCAACATTCTTCCACTCGACCCTGTTACTCTGGGAGCATGAACTTTAAGAAGAAACAGAACTAAAAATCACAAATTCACACGCGTGAAATACACAAAGCCTACATTCAACCGCAATGCTTTATTTTTCCGTAAATATAACTCGAGTTCTTCTTTTGAAAATCGAATTGTATGAGAAAACACAAACAACGAATATCACCTTCACCTTCAACAACTCGACAACAACTGGTCGCATTGATCGTAATCGTAACAAGTAACAAACGTACGGCGCACCGCACGCCATAGACTAATTCAAGACTAGAGAAGTCGCAGCATTTCGACAATCGGTACAAGAGCGGGAAATCGATTATGATTTTAAATATTTTTAAACAAAATATTTGCAAGGAATTTAAATAGAAGGGAAAATAGAATATTAGGGAAATTTAAACAAAACATACACGTATTTTAGAAAAGGATTAAATAAATATAATACTGAATCTTACATTGAAATAAATTCAATTACAATAAAAAAAGACTAAAAAACGAATTTAAAAATTTTGAAACAAATACCTCTTAGAATTCCAAATGTTGCAATACTTGAGATACATCTTCGGTGTTATCTTCTTTTTCTCTTTTAAGAGCCAAATGCATAGCTCTTAAAAATCGTGTTAAAGTACATTTTTTTGTTCTTAAATAAAAAGCATGAGCTAAAAACGGTATTTTTCTTAAAATACGTCCACTAAAACCCAAACTTTCCTGACTTAATTCCATCAATTTAAGACTATTCTTTGTTTGAAATGTTTCTTCATAGCCCATTCTTTTTAAATATGATAAATCATATATTTCTTCTGGTTCCATTAGTTTTGTCTGAAATAAACAAATATAAATATATTTTATAAAATACAAAAAATTATTTTTTTACCCTCATTAGTTCTTTCAGACATGAAGTATATATTTTGTATATAGCTTGATGCGTAGGATGTCCAATATATTGTTTTATATCTGCTCTATCAATAAATGCTAAATCAATGGCTTCTGATAAATTACTAGTCGTTAAAATCAATACATTTGGATATTGTTTTATTTGGTCCAGTTGTGTTAGTAAAGCATTTACTACTCTTATGGAATCAGTAGGTTCCATTCCATTACTACAAGATTTCCGAGCGTGTGCTAGAGATTCCACTTCATCAATCAAAATGCAAACTAATGCATGCGAATTTTCTAGAAGATTTTTTATTTCATTGAATAGTTTCATAACTAATTTACCACTCTGTAAATAATATTAATTTTTTAATTTTAATTTTATTATTATTTAATTAAATATCTTTTCTAATATTACCTCTGAAAACCATTTTGAAAATAAACTATGACTATTTATTTCAATGAATTCTGCATGAGTAAATCTTTTGCCTAAACGAATAATAATTTTTTGAGCAAGAGCTTTGCATAAACTAGTTTTTCCTGTGCCTGGTGGTCCATGTAGTAATACCACTTTATTCCAACTTATAATATTTGTATCAACATTATGATCTGCAAATATCATTGCTGTTTCTACAAAATGAAGCAGCTAAAAAAAATATACAGATTCTTAAATTTCTAATTGATAATTAATGTATAATTATAATTAATAAAAAAAATTAATAAAAATAATTATATATTAATTATTATATTATATAATAATTATATATTAATTATTTTATTATATTATAAAACATTATTTTATAATTATAATTAATCATTTTATAATTATAATTTAAAAGATTCAATATTTTTAACTAACATAATCTTTTATGCTAGAATCAAAATAAAGACTTTCCCATAAATAATGAAATTCTTTTGTTGGTAATATCCAATGAGAAGAGACTGCAAGATCTTCTCCATCATTTTCCATTGTTTCTGTAGCTGCTGATTCTGTAGTTAACCTATAGACATGAAACTTTAGAGTAGCATTTTGTATTTTCATATGACTTCTCTGTAACAATAAATTTTATATTGTTAATATATTTTGTACAATTAAATTTATTTCTGAATTATTACCTCTCCATGACTAGATGTGCATATTATGGAATCAATATGAGTCTGTAAAATGCAATTTTTTAAATCCTTTGCATAGATAATAGTATTTAACATAATATCCTCTAATGTGTTTATTTCAGCATATATTAAATTTTCTATTTTTTCAACAGAAAGTGTGCTGAAAGTTAAATATTTTAAATTATAATAAATCATATGAAAAATATTAAAAATTTATTATAAAACATTAAATTATAATTTATTAAATAATAAAAGAATTAGATTTCAATTGAAAACTTGAGACAAATAATTAATTAAAAAAAATATATATAATTTCTAATTAAAAAATGTAATACCTATCAATATTTTGACAGATTTCCACGTGCAAAACCTCGGATCCTTCCATTTTAATTCAATTCTCAGAACTTTAATATCTTTTTAAAACCAAAAACTGATTTAAAATATTTCTTATATATATAACAATTTTAAGAAGAATATAAAATTATGTATTTTGGAGCATTCAAGAATTTCGAACATTCAAAACACAATTTGAAATTAATTATACAAGTATTTTTAATAAGTTTTATAATATACATACATAGATACATATTAGGAAAAGAAAGGAAAGAAAGCTTTAAAAAACTTCAAGGTGGTTTTCAACGAATGATTGAAAATTGAATATAAAGTTCGTGAAATGTTTCTGATCAATGTTAGATCACGATCTATCTTATGAAAAATTTATGGTACAATGTCAGACGCTATAGTAATTCGTATTTTTATAAGTCGACAACGGTCAAACATTTTACAGTGAACGATTTGAGCACATGGGTTTGAGATGTAGTATATATCGAATAAGCTTGTAGATTGTCCAACAATTAATAATCGATTTGCTTTTTATCGTCAATTATTAAACAGCTAATTGTTGGTCAAATTTTAATGAAATGAGTAAAGCAATAGAAGATGATGAGCGCAGAAGACGCTCTTTGGAAGCAGGTAGAGAAATGGTAGGTTTTTTTTCTTAAGATTAATTATTTCTTTTATGATATCAAGTCTTAAGTAGTTTTTAATTATTTATAAGTTATTCCTATGTTATATACGACAGAAAATTTATTTAATATAATGAATTTGAAAAATGAATAAAGTATTTAAAAAATTTTAATTCTTTCAATAAAAAATTATATGAAAATTTATTTTGTATATAAAACATGATTTTGATTTAATTTAGTTGGAAAAATATAAGGCAGAAAAGGCTAACAAAGTTCAAGGTACAAGTTATAATCAGATGGATGAGATATCTGACGAAGAATCTTTCCAAAATGACAAATCTATTGGACATAGGGAATCTTACGTAAGAATAAAAACTTATTTATTTGTTGTTTGAAATTCTAGTTTTGTTAATTATAGGTACATGAAGGAGTTTCTTCAAGAGATGTGACACAAAGCAGTGTCAGTATGAGTGAAGGAGAAGCAGATGGAGATTTAGAAGGTCTTGCAGGAAGAGTAGCTCAATTAGAAGAATTATTACAAGGAAAAGAAGCCATAGTGGAAGCTTTAAATGCAGAAATAGATCATTTGAGAGCAGAAGCGTCATCTCCAAATTCTTCTCAAAGCCAGAATAGTAGTATACCTAGCAGAGATGTTATACCCTTATATCATACAAAAGTAATAAAATATTTTTTTTCTTTTTTGACATAGTATATGTAGATAGTTATGTCTTTTGTTTTATGAAACAGTTACAAGAGTTTGAAAAAGCAGTGAATCAAAGAGATAACCTAATAGAAGAATTAATGTGGTCTTTACAACAAGCCATATCTGCAAGAGATAATTTTGCTAGTCAATTGAATGCTTTGAATGCAATGGAGATACCTTGCAAGGATAATATTAATACTATGAATAATAAAAGCTTACAAGAAAAGGTAAGATTATTTTTCAGATCAAAAAAATGATTGAGAAAATTTTTATTTTTTGAGAGAATTTTTTTTTAGATTGATACTTTAGAGAAAACTCTAAATGATCAAAGATCAATGATACAAAAATTAAATAGTCAGTTGGCTCAAAACTTAGAGCATGTACAAACACTTGAAATGGAGAAAGAAACTAGAGTTGCAGAGATCAATGATTATAAATTACAAATTAATAATTTAAATGAACAAATTCGTGTAAGTGCTGCTGATAAAAATTTAAATATCACTGAGACTTTAGAGCAACAGAAACAATATGAAGCACGCGTAGATAAAATAAAGCAAGATATGCAACATATATTAAAGAAATTCACAACTGAAACAAATATAAATACTACACGTCATCAACAAGAATTGAAAGATTTAGCTGCTAAACATGAAAAGGAAATAATGAATATTCAAGATAAGTATGAAGAAGAAATAAAGCAGTTGAAAAAAGAGAATAAGATTCTAGCTGATCGTTTAAACAAGGAGCTACCAGATTTGGATACTAGACATGCTAAAGAACTTTCCATTTTTCAAACACAGTTGATTCATTATAAAAAAACTGTAGAAGCTTTGAAACTTGAATTAATGAATCGCTCAGAATCTCAACAAATTGCCCAAACTGAATTAAACGAATATAAATCAAAATTTAATGAGTTTAAAGTACAGTCAGAAAGGACTAGACATATTTTAAATCTAGATAATCAAAAGGAAAAAGAAATGCTAAGCGAACAGATTAAATTACATAAACTTCAATTAGAAGAAATTACTTCAAAATACATTGCAGTGACTGCAATTCTTGAATCAAAAGAAAGTATTGAACGTTCCTTGGAACAGGCTTTATCAAATGCTGCTATATTAAAAGAAGAAAATGAAAGTTTAAAATTTAAGCTTGATGATCTCTCATCAAGGTACTCAGCAGCACAATCATTAATAGAAAACAGCCAAACTCATGAAAAAACTTTAAGTAATAGGATATATGATTTAGAAAAATCATTATCTAGACTTAGTGGTATAAATGTGAGTACTTTGAGTGAATTAAATGAAACTACATATCAGACTTTCGATGAAGTGGCAGTTCAATATCAGTTAACAAAACAAAAACTTGAGGAGAAAGCAGAATTAGAAAAACTTCTAATTCAGAGAATTGAAGGCCTTGAAGAGGATATTCGCAAGTCAAAAGAGGAATTGGAACAAACAGATTTAATTAAAAAATCGTATGAGAAACAACTTAAAGATATGAAAAATGTGTGCGATAAATATAAATCTGAACTGATTTCCTTGAAAAAGAATGATCTAAATGATCA